CCATACTTAGAGACAGAAAAAAGAGAAAAACTGAAAGAGTACTAGGCACTAATAGGGCTAGGGCCTTTATGGTTGAGAGCTTGCTTTCAGCAGAAAGTTAATAAGGTTCTTCTCGGAGACTACTTCAAAGACAAATCTGTTGCTCTTCATTTCCAGTGGCGATAGAGAAGTGCTATGAGCCCTTAGGAAAATACATTGGGAACAGAGGACCGGCTGATCGCAATGTGTGTTTTGCAGAGGTTATTAATAGGAACCTTGAATAACTGGTAGAGTCATCTAGACCTCTTTCCTTCTTTTGGAGTGTATTTAGTTCTTAAGTTGCTTTATGGAAATTTTGTTTCCAACTTCCCAATTTAAAAAAGTAAAAGGAGATAAAGTCCTGAAACCTTTATAGCTTGCAGTTATGAATGTAAGCCAAAGTGGAATGCCTAGTTCGGAAGCAGGATTCTCAAATTGTTGTCCTTGGACAACAATCAGAACTGCCTAGAAACATGTTACAAACTCAGAAAGACTGAATTTTCACAAGTCCTCCAGGTCAGAGAGACGCTGTCCTCATGTGATTCCTATTATGGAATTCAAGGAATTACTGGATCTACAGACTACATCAGATGGAGGCCATGTCCAAGAAAGTCTCATTTGGTGTCTGAAGCTCCTGATTGGACTTGGCACCTTAGCCACTTTCTCTTCTAGGGATGGCAGGGCTACAACCAGGGTGCAGTTTAAGATTCAAGCTTACAGCGAATCAGCTGGCTGCTTTCTGCTCACAAAGCAGGTGTGAAAACAGCATGTCCTGCTTTTGACAGAACTCATCTGAGGACGAAAATTTCATGAAACTTCATTTGTCTCAGCTTCACGTCTTCATTTTTTGAGCTAACCCCTCTGCAAAGCATTGTGTGACTTCGTACGCCTACGAAGTACACACGAATGCTAGTTCCCTGGCTCCCTGGGTACTGAGGGCTGAAATGGGATGCAATTGCCCTCAGCCATTCTGACGGGGCAGTATGCATATTGTACTGGCTAATTGTTTCAGTCTTGCTGGTAGGACTGTAGGCATGCGCTTTCTTCTTCTAAGTTTATTTTGCAAATAACGCTTATGCGTTGTACACTTATTTTCGTCTAGAAAAAGTGTATGTAATTTTGAAAGACTTATTTGCTTGAAAGGCAAAACAAGAATGAGACAGAGAGATCTTCCATCCACTGATTCATTCCCCAGACAGACGCATTGGCCCAGGACCTCCACCCTGGTTGATACATGGTGGCAGAGGCCCACGCAGGTGAAGCGGCTGCTATACTGCCTTTCGAGGTCCATGAACAGGGAGCTGGAGTGGAGACAGGGCAGTCAGCAGCCCTTGGATATGAGATGCCACCATTGGAAGCAGTGGCCTAATGTGCTGGGCCACCCCCATGGGTAATCTTATCAAGACTAATCTAGGGAAAATGCAGTTTATTGAAACCAATAAAAACATATCCATATTTAAAGGATTGAAATAAGTCATTGCAATTTGATGCGAAGGGGTCATTAGCAAAACTCAAGTGGCTATTTCAGACTATTTTATCTTTAGCAAGTTTTTTCTTTTTTCTTGATGTCACCTTGGGAACCCTTGTCAGGAAGCAAAATGCAGTACAAGGACTGTGGAGTCAGTCTAAGCTACTGGTCTGCATGCATTGCCTAAGCAGCTGCTGAGTCCAGATCTGACCCACAGTCCTAGCGAGATTCTTGGAAGTGCTGTGCTGCAGCTTGCACAGAACCAGGCATCCTTGCTCCTGGAATGGACCTACCCCCGAACCCTAATAGATACAGGAATCCAATTTCCATTACATCTTTTGTCATTATGGTATTCATACCTCAATAAATATGACTATTTCCCACCTTGACATTTTCCTCAAATATAAAATCCATTTATAGTTCCCGAAGTTGAATTCTAAAAGGTCATTTAAGCGGACAGCATTGTAGTGTAGCTGGTCAAGCCACCGTTTGTGGAACTGGCATGCCATGCAGGCACTTGCCAAAATGTGGCTGCTCCATGTCTTGATCCAGCTCCCTGCTAATGCACTTAGCGAAGCAGCAGGGGATAGCCTCAGTGTTCAGGCCACTCCACCAATGTGGAAAACCGGGAACAAGCTCTCGGCTCCTGGCTTCAGCTCGGACCGGGTGGGTACTTGCAGCCGTTTGGGGGATGAACCAGCAGATGGGAGATCTTTCTCCATCTCTCCCTTTCTCTGTAACTCTTTCAAATAAATGTTAAAAAATCCCAACTTGTTTAAAGGATCCAGTTCTCTAGCCCCTTGTCTGATAGCTGAGGATTTAACTATCTTGAAATTTCAGTAGCTGCGGGGAAATGTCTGATGCAGGCTTTTCTGTGTCCCAGATGCAGGAATGTATAAAAACAGGTGTTCTCTCAGTTTAATAATGGTCAGATATAAACCACAAAAAATAAGCATAAGAGAAACAAGTTGCCCCTTGTCTGATACCTGAGGATTTAACTCTCAAAATTTCAAAAGGTGTGTACTTGGAGTTTGTGTTAACTCTCTCTCGATGCAAACATTTTTAAATCCCAAAGATTTAAAACATTTACTTAATTTTATTATTAATTTATTGACTTGTGACATATTTTAAAATTTAGAATATTTTGATTCCAGCAGCCACCATCTCTCAAATATCTTCTCAGAAGTGACGGAAGATGGCTTCTCTGCTTTCAAAAACCAAATGTGCTATCTAAGAAGGAAGTGCATACCCAGAAGAAATAATGGGAGAAAAATTTTTGAAGTTATAAAATTGCCAAGCATTCAGAATAGTCTGTATAAATGAACAATGTCCAAGGGAAGTAACTAGGAAAAATGAGCAGAACTGAACAAGGAACTCGCAAAGACTTTCTGAAATTTAGACGAGGGCAAATGCAGGGTGACAAGGTTAGTGCTAGAAAGGATGTGAGAGACAAAGGGAAGGTCTGAGTGTTGGGCAGGGTGGACTGCGGGAGGGAAAGCAAAGCCGACCTTATTTTAGATGGGTGTAGAGCCACTGAAACAATCGGCTCCTTGTTCTTAGTAATGGCGAGGAATCAGTAAATTTGTTATTTCTACTCATCATTACGTGTATGCTTTCATTACACAGAAGGACCCCCAAATATAGACACTTTTGTTTTCTCCCCAAATTTTCAATGCTGTTATTTTTCATTTAATTCACTCATAAGCATTTTGGGCTTTGTTTTCTTATGTGATACCGAATAAGTGCACAACAGGAAAAAGTCTGTATACTGACTCAATGGCTCCTCATCTACCATTTGCTTTTTTCCCTTTCCCTCTTAATTGGAACAGAATTCCTTTTGAAAAAAAATTTTTTTTTTACTGCAATCACACACTGCTGCTTATAGTCATTTTAGAGATAAAATCCTATCAATTCCAGTTAGCACTGGCATTTGTAAGTGCTGTCAAGGCAGGCTAAAGGAAGACAAGGTCTCAATGTGTGCTCCAAGTGCTGGCAGGCTTTTTCTGCTCATTATCCACAGTGAGAACTGCCTGGATTCAGGCGGAGAGCTATCTCGATGAGGCGGAGCAAAGGTGACTTCCTGTGTTGTTTTTGGTTTTCTGTCTGCCTCTCCTCGGAGCGGGCTGTGCTCTCTGACGGTCTGCAGGCCTTTTGCTCAGTGGTTTCCCACTGAAAGGGCACGGTGCTTGGGCCTCCGCAGGTCATCCCGTGCACAACAGGCTGAAAAGGAATGGCTGGGGGGAAGGGGGAGGGGAGTGTCAGCAGGAGGCCAGCCGACCCGGAGGGCATCTGTTCTTTATTTTCTCCTCCAGATTGAACTCATCTGATCAGTGGAGAGGATTGTGTTGTTGCCGTCACCATCATCCCCCCTTGTTACCTGCTCGGAGCTATGCCACGTTGGTGAGAAAAGGTAGATGACAAATGTCATTTTATTTCAATGAGCAGACTCAGCCCAAAACACCAAGTGCTTTAAAGCAATTACTCTCCGCTTTTAAAAAGCGAAAACTGGGAAGTTCTAATTCTACAGGGCCAAGAAAACAAACAAACAAACAAACAAAACAAAACCCACTGCAGGGTTCCTTGCTTCTAGTGGCCTATTTGGAATCACGCCCAGCGTTGCTTCTCTTTTTATGCAAGGCACTTCCTCTGGGGTGGACACGCAAAACCCCCAGCTGCTAGCTCAGGACCGGACAGGCAGCAGGCGGTGCGTACGAGCGCTCTGCGACTTCCTTTAGAGGGACTAAGTTTAAGTCCTTTCCCCTCGTGTATGCCTGTCTGCAGAGCCCCGTGATAGGCCATAAGAAACCAAGTTTGGCTGAAAGGGAACTACTCGGACCCTGGCAGGGGGGTAGGGGGACTCAGTGGGCTCCCGAGAGGGAAACTGGGGGCTGAGGCGGGGAACTCTTCAGTACAGGGCTAGGGTTCATCTTTGGGGTCGAAGTCCGGCTCCCAGATGCGGGAGCGAAGCACCCGAGCTCAGCTCGCGTCCGCACGGTCTAGGATCCTGGCTTCCCTGCGACTCGGCTGGGCAGGGCTGCCCGCGCCGCTCCTGGGAACCAGAGCTGGTCCGCAAGCGCAGACTCGGGCCGACCGCCGAGTGGGAAGGGACAGTGCTGTGGGGTCCGGGGTCCGTACTCCTCCCGTGGGGTCCTGCGGGCAGCTGCGGTGGGTGAAGCGGCTGCGCACACCGAGACTCGCAAACTCTCCTGCTCCCTCCCTCGCGCAGGAGAGTTTACCCTCTCTCGTTTCCACTCCTCCCTCCTCTCCCCTCTCGCTGTTTCCCAGTTTAGAGGATCTAATGTTGCTTCCTTGCATCGCTTTTTGTGACCCGGGGGGCTTGATACCCTAGAGCTCCAGTTACCGAACGAAATTCTACTTTTGTTTTGATTGCTCCTCGCTTCCTCCCGCGCGGCGCGCATCTGATTGATCTGCGAGGTCCGACACTCCTGCCAGCGGGAGAGGAATAAATAGATGCTGCTGCCCCCGAAGGCTTAGACGTTGGGAAAGAGCGGTAGGGGCGGTGGCGACTGGAGCTCAGCGCGGCTCGTGGGACCCCATTGGGGGAATTTGATCCAAGGAAGCCGCGAGATTGCCGGGGGAGGAGAAGCTCCCAGATCATTGTGTTCATATCCAGGGAACCAGAGGAGACGGCGCAGTGAGCCTCTGGACGGCACTGAAAGCTGCACGCTGCCCTATCCTGCCGGGATCATGGCCTGCGGCAGCCAGGCGGGACTACTGGCCCTGGCCGTGCTCTTTCTGCTCCAGGTGCCCGGAGCCTGGGCTGCAGCCTGCGAGCCGGTGCGCATCCCCCTGTGCAAGTCTCTGCCCTGGAACATGACCAAGATGCCCAACCACCTGCACCACAGCACCCAGGCCAACGCCATCCTGGCCATCGAGCAGTTCGAGGGGCTGCTGGGCACCCACTGCAGCCCCGACCTACTCTTCTTCCTCTGTGCCATGTACGCGCCCATCTGCACTATTGACTTCCAGCACGAACCCATCAAACCCTGCAAGTCCGTGTGCGAGCGGGCCCGGCAGGGCTGCGAGCCCATCCTCATCAAGTACCGCCACTCTTGGCCGGAAAGTCTGGCCTGCGAGGAGCTGCCGGTGTACGACCGCGGCGTGTGCATCTCCCCCGAGGCCATCGTCACCGCGGACGGAGCTGGTGAGCCTCCACCTTGCTCCCCCTCGCGACCCTCCTCCCCCCAGAAATGCCTTCTCTTTCGCTTGCGTTCTTCTCTTTAACTCTCGGATTCTGTCTTTTCGGATTTCTTCTCCTTTAACCGCTCCTCTATCTCCTAGCTCTCACCTCGACATCCCCCAGAAGGGTCGTCCTGTGTTCCAGCAGAAGTTTGTGTGTTTCTAAGACTCTGTTCATCCCACCCCATCACGTATCCACAACACCCTGACCCTTGCTGCTCCTAGCGCGTGGAACTAATCACATTTTATACTGAGACGCTGTTATCGTGCTTTCTTAATTTGTTTGTAATCATTCTTAGTTTCCTTGCCAGGGTCTCCTGCCATCTCAGTCATCACTATGTTTTTCCTGCTTTCACTGCTTGTTGAGGATGTGCGGAGAAAACAGAAAACCGAAGCCCCTGTTGACCTCTAATCGTTAAAAATGCCATGATAATCTCAGTAACCTTACTCCAACCCACAGATGTTAGTGGCATGTGTTTGCTCACAGCACAATTGGAGCAATTACCTTCACCTTAAATTTCCTTCTCCTTTCAATGAGATAAATTGTTCTTCCATTCCAGACTGAAACAGCTGCGAAACATTGCTATGCATTGCTAATTAGCTTCTGCGGCTGGCCGCAGCCGGGGGCCCTGAGAGCCCCGCAGACTGAAATTACTAGGAGCCTTCCACGTGTTAACATGGCCTCAGGTCATTTTGTAAGTGGCATATGGGTGGAAGAAGTTATATTTAAGGCATGCTATCATCATAGATTCATGTAATGTTATTTTTAAGTTCACTGCTCATCTGGTCTCAAACGCTGTAAATGATTTGTCTTTAATAGTTTATTTTAGACTCTTAAGTGTGTGCCTAGGACACACATTCATCTCAGGCTCTCTTACTGTAAAACTTCATTGCGTTTCTACACTAACAGAATCAGTCTCACGTTGTTTTCTCACCAGGGTTTGGTCTAATTATGACATTCATAGCTCTAACACCCCCACTGAGACCTAACTCTTTATGGTCCATTTAATTCTAAGTCAATATCACTCCTGCCAACCTGCCCAAACCCCAATTTTACCCTTCATATATATCTCACATATATTTTCTCACAAAAGCATCTTGTTTTCACCTTCACACTGCTCCTAGATCAACTCTGTTCATAGATGGATTGACTTGCTTGCCACCGTTTCTGTTCACTTCTTGAGGATCAGCTTTTCTTGACGCAGCGTGGCTTACATTAACAATGCATCCATTACTGGGTAATAATTCTTAGTTGCCAGGAAATTAATTTGGGAGAAAATCAATAAAATGATAAGGAAAAGGAAAAGTACAGGTACCAATAGCTCAAAAATCAATACCCAGCATAACAAGAGCTTGCTAAGGGGTAACTCGATGTGTCACTCTTTGAATGTGCCTATTGTTGTCTTGCCCGTAAGAACCAGGAGCTGGTGGTGGAAAATTTATCAGAGATAAATGTATTTCTTACTACCCTTTAAGCTAAAAGGACATCCTTGAGCCTTTATTCCCACTGAAGCCACAGGTTTTGCAGACTCTGGAAGAGCACAAGGCACTTGGCTGCCCTGGTTTGCCGGGCACTTAGCATCCGTTAAATGCTGGCACTGCTCTCAGGCCAAGCGCTAGGAATGAAGTGGCAGTGGTTCAGGCTGCGATGCATTCCTTCCCTTGAAGGACAAAAGTTGCTCTTAAACCCCTCTCAGAGATGGACCTCGATTGAGCTAGGCTTGGCAAGGTTCAGGGCTCTCAAAAAGCCATAGTCAGTAGGGATAGGAAGCAGTTTCATTAAATGTCCCTGAGTTACCTATCACTGTGGATCAAATGTGGAACAATTGCCTCATTGAAAAACTCAAATAGGACATGCATGGAAACGATTTGTTAGTCCATGGATTTCCGAGCTTCTTTAAAATGCCATAATATTTGCTTTGCTGGCAATATCCTTGTTAGAAAAGTAAGTAAGGGGAGGCAGTCATTGGCATCATATTTTAGTACTGGTCTCCCCTCCCCCAATGTGAAACTGAGGCTATGGTGACAGGAAGGGGCTGAAAGGGAGGTGGGGGCAGCGAGTGGATTCTGGCTCCCTTGGCTTCCAGGGCTAGCTTGTTGAAAATTACATTCGCTGTGTTGGGTCAAACTGTCAGGCACCTGGAATTACTTAGGAACTACTGCACAGGGCCAGCTTAATTTACAAGGCAATATACCCCCTTGCCTCAGTGGGTGAGGAAAGCTCACCAGGCAGATTCTTTTTTTCTTCCTTTAGGTATGAGCAGAATCCCTGTGTCTTACAACCAGCCAGAATCAAAAAGTGAAGTCTCCCTGAAAAAATGGGATAGCATTTTACATTCCTTCACCACTAAGAGAATTTTCAGATCCCACCATTCTAGCACTCAGTTTCCTCGTGGTATATTGTGGTTCCACAGTCAAGCTTAGGACATTTTACAAAGCTCACCGCTACTGTGGTGGAGTTATGCTTTGAACAATGTTTTGCTTTAAAACACCAAGAGTAAACATACTTTTCTTAAAAATATGTCCTGACTGTAAGCTTTCAATTCAAATGAATTTTGTTCTTACACATTTTGTATCTACCATAGTATACAGGTGTCTGAGTGAGGGCACTGTGTTATCTTAGTTCAATTCAGCCATTCTACCAGTTAGACACTTACTCAAATGCTTTTTAACAGATTATTTACTTATTTGGGATGGCAGAGTGACAGAATGAGAGAAAGAGACACAGAGAAATCTACCCATTGCTTCATTCACCAAATACAAAAATAGCCAAGACTGAACTATACCAAAACTAGGAGCACGTGACTTCAACAGGCTTTCCCACACGGGTGGTAGGATCCTATGTGCTGGGGCACTTATTGGCTGCCTTCCAGGCACATTGGCAGGAAGCAGGATTAGGAGCGATGATGTGACTGCTCAATCCTAAGCACACAGAAGTAGCTGTGAATGACTCAAGAGGCGGCTTAGCTCGTTGAGCCACGATGTCCAGCTCTAGCCACAGCTCTAAAATTGTTGGTGAGTAAAGAGTGTGGATTTTGGGTTGGGCAGACTAGATGTTGAATCTTGACTGCCCAATATCGATGGTTGCTACAAGGAAACTGTTTAACTTTGTTTCACAGCTTTAAAATCAGTGAAATATGGACAAAACTGTCTATACCCCAAGGGCATGGTGCAAGTGAAATTACAGAGCATTTAAAACTAAAGCTTTCGGGCCCAGCATGATGATGACTCAGTGCAAACTCTGGGATCCCATATGGGCACCGGTTCATGTCCCAGCGGCTCCACTTCCTTTTTAGTTCTCTGCCTGTGGCCTGGGAAAGCAGTAGAGGATGGCTCATGGCTTTGGGACCCAGCACCCATGTTGGAGACCTGGAAGAAGCTCCTGGCTTCAGGATGGCTTAGCTCTGGCTGCTGCAGCCACTTGGGGAGTAAAGCAGTAGATGGAAGACCTATCTCTGTCTCACTGTAAATCTGACTTTCCAATAAAGAATAAATAAATCTTAAAAATGAGTAAGTAAATAAAGCTTTCTGGGGCCCAGCGCAGTGGCTCGATGGCTAAATCCTCACATATGCATATGCCAGGATCCCATATGGGTGCTGGTTTGTGTCCCAGCTGCTCTACTTCCCACTTAGCTCCCTATTTATGGCTTGGGAAAGCTACAAAGGATAGCCCAAAGCCTTGGGATGTTGCACCTGTGTGGGAGACCTGGAAGAAGCTCCTGGCTTCAGGATGGCTGAGCTCTGGCAGTTGCAGCAGTTTGGGGAATGAACCAGTATATGGAAGATCTTTCTTTCTCTCCTTCTTTCTGATAAGTTTCTTTAAGAAAGATAGATAAATCTTTTCAAATATAAGATATTTAATATTTAAAAATAAAAGACTCTTGAACATAGTAAGCCCTGGTTAAATTGCCATTATTGTTGCTGTTGTTATTTTACTATTACTATCCTTCTATATGGAATTGGCTGGTGCTTCATTTTGTATTTTGAAGTGTATACTGGGAAAGGCAGAAATAGCCTAGAACGTTTATGGGTTCATTCCTGAGAAACAAGCTTTACAAGCTGCAACCCAACTAGAAGAGCAGATCTTCCTGCTTCCCGATATACTCATAGTCCATTTAACAGATCTCCACCTGGGCTTCGGGGACAAGAGCACCAATCCCTTTGAAGCAACAGAAATAGTGAATGAGTCTATGAATGTCTGTTAATTGCAAATAGTCTAGTTCAGATACCCAGAAATCAAGCATTTATAAAAACTTACGTTATTTCATGACAATTTCTACAACACCTGCAGTTTGCCACGCCAAGGACTCTATAATCACGCCTCAGTCATTGCTGGCTTCCGTGGTAGTACTGACTTGTCACCCAGCTCTTGGCCCACATATTTCTGCAGGCCCTTTCTTGCCTGGCAGAGCTGCCCCAAGTTTCACATGTAGGAGCTGCTGTTTAATCATTTCTCCACTCCTGGAGGAACAGGCGGCCTTTTCTTTAGCCCTGGTCCACAAATATTTGAGGAACCAAATACCAAGAAGGAAGAAGAATCATTTAGTGTGATATGAGGAAAAAGATGGAATGGAAAGGAGAAATGGAAATTTTAGATTAGGACTGGACAGAAAAGATAATTCTAAGAATTATGTGAAATATAGATAGGTAATCTGGATAGGATATGGAAGGGTATCTCAAAGTACTATATTTAAATTTATAGCCAACTCAGTTATCAGTGGAAATAGAATCTTATGTAGTCCCCAAACCATATTTAATAATTCACTTTTAATATAATTTTTACCACATTTTCAAGTAATTGTGACAAATAATAAATTGATCAAGTTATATTTAACCTGTTTCCATTTGATATCTACATAGACCAAGCACTACTTTACTATAATTTTGAGTAATTCAGAATTAGCTATATTTTTCCATTTAGAGAAAAACAGTTTTGGCGTTACAGGCCCTTAGTTAGAATTCCCGATTTGTCCCTGATTTTATGTTTAGCAAGTCATTTTGCATTGACAGTGATTGGGAATATTCATGTGAAGTGAAGGATGATAGAAACGTTTTCCAACAACATCTCTGGGGAGAGGACATGGCACCTGCAGGACAGGATTCAATAGCAGTTACAGAACACAAACAAACGCTGCATGTTTTGGGTGCAGTCCTACGTGCACTGCGCGTATTAACTGTGGCAAATACAGGGTAGATGCTATTGCATTTTGCGAAAAGGAGGCAGAGGTATTTAGAGAAATTAAGTGATTTTTCCACATTGATACAGCTTGTAGGAGAGAAAATTTAGGGACTGACACTGAGGCATGCTGCGTAAAGCTGCTGCCTGCAAATTTAGCATCCCATGAGGGTGCTGGGTCATGACCTGGCTCTTCCCCTTCTGACTCAACTCCCTGCTAATGCCCCTTGGAAAAGAAGCTTAAGATAGCCCAAGTGCTTGGTCTCTGCCACCCACATGGGAGCGTCTGATGAAGCTCCTGGTTTCAGCCTGGCTCATTAGCCACTGGAGCCATCCGTGGATGGAACCATGGGATGCATGTCTTCGCCTCTGTCTCTTCTTCTCTCTATAACTCTTTCAACTCAATCGATCTTTAAAAAGAAAGAGGATTGAAACCACAACTATTCCCTGCCCCCCCATTCTTCTCTTACTGATTTTGAATTTTAGAGGGAGAGCATCTGTGTATTTTGCTCATGAGATTGCAATTAAAGAAACTGTTGTTTTACTTTGAAAACATATTTGTGTATGGCTTAGAGAATAAAAGACAACTCCGGACAATGGATTTCAAGAGATAAGAGGCGGCTTCTTTGCATTTTACCGATAGCAGAGAACATATACTTTGGATCTCACACCTGGCCCCAGTCCCTCGATCTGTAGGCCCCAAAGTAAGCTCATTCTTTTCTTGTCCTCACACGTTATGCTAGGTGTTTTCTGTGTCATTGAGAGTCATTGCTGCGCCAAGCGTGAGCCTTGCTTCTGCACGTCTCCTTAGCTCTCACCTTCGATAAGCAGCAGACACAACTAGACCTACTGTGACTTGACTTCTCTTTCCTCCTTCTCTCATGTCATGTCTTTAGTTTGGATTTCATTGTTTCTCACATGGATTAGGGCCCTAAGACACTAACTGGGTGCATCTTCCTGGTATTCCCGCCAGGATGATCTCTGTGACTAACGGGGCTTCTGCCACTAGCCTGCACCGTCTTGTCCCCCCTGCCCCCCCCACCCCCGGGGCTTCCCTCCTCTCTGTATACTTCCTGTTTCAGCTTCACTGGAAGACTTGCAGGTCCCCTGATGACTTCCGCCATCACTCACTCGGGTACATTCACAATCCTGGTTCCTTTAGGAGTCACCTTCTGGAAACCTCTGTGACCTCCACTGGAAGTCTCCAAGACAACATTAGCTATTTTAATTTAAAATAATTTTATTGAATAGAAATCCCAAGTTTAACTCCCTGAAAAGTTATGAAATGACTTATGATCAGCACCTTCTGACATTTTTATCTCTTACAATTGAAACACTTCTAAGCATATTTAAAGGTGATGAAATACTTTCCTATGAGTGAGAATGAAAGAAGAAAAATACTCTTCTTGGTTCACCTGTTTCAAGGGGTTTTTCTTTTTCCAAGAAAAGGAATTTTCTTCCTCATTTTTATTTCAGTCTTTAGACACTCAGCATTTTAAATGTAGATTGATATAATTGATTTACTATAGTAAATTATTTTGTATTGACCATATGCATTCATCATGTATAGGACTATTACTCAAAACTGTGTGTGGGGAGTGGTATGCTGGGAGCTGACCCCACACATATCATATGGCAGGTCGTGGTGAGATGGCGGTTGGCCGAGGGCCAGGAGGCGGGGTTGGTCCCGCCAGTAGGCAAACAGGAAGTCACGGGGGATAGGCTGATGCCCTCGCTGTGATTATGTCATTGCTACCGGCCTATCAGGTAGCACCAAGTGGACCCACGGGGAGAAGTGATTGGTGGAGAACTGTATATAAGCAGCCCGCTTTCAGCAATAAAGGGTTTTTCTGTTGTTGGTTCGGTGGTGTGTTTGTTCAATGTGTGTTCTGGTTGCGGTGGTGGTTCCTGTTTTTCCAGGCCCCCAGAGAGTGTTCCTTGTCATTTTTGTGTCACTGCTGGACGGTGGCAACTGTCGATACATTTATTATGAATAATGTGTTTGAATAGAATAAAGGTCATTAAATTAGCAGTGTATGCCAAGTTGAATTAAATGTTTGGAAGTACTATTTGTCTCTTGCATATTTGCTCTTGCATATTTGGTGATTGCGGTCTTTCCTTGGATACAGCTTTTTAAATAGCAGCTGATTGTATTTGCCCTGAAAAAGTAATTCATTCATTGTAATTGTGGTCATCATCCTAAAATAATATTAACTCCTCCTGGTTAAGTTTGCTCATGATATGACCCATGGAGAAAAATCACAAAAGAAGAATGCTGGGTTTTGTGGAAATAAATAGACGCGTTACAGTCATGTTGCTAAAGTGTTAATACAAATAAAAAGCTCTGGTATTGAAGTACTGAATTGGAGTGCCAGGAATGTATAGCTTGGTACAGTACTTCTATATATTTCTCTTCTCAGACACCAAGCATTATTCGTTAGAGGCTGCTTTCTTGATCAGAACACAGAATGCCTTTGTTATATTTTTGCAATTAAGACATCGCAAAATTCAGTGCTAATTTCTACTCATTGTTACATCTATTGATTGCACTGGCTTGAGAAGTCCCTGGACAATAGGTTTCCTTTCTGGTGAAAAACTGTTTAGTCTGTGATTAATAAATGGAATGAATATGCTTCCTGAATGTTTTCCAGAGACACAACTGATATAAATGCATCTAAGTTCAGTGTGATAAATCCATGTGTTGAAGAGATGCGTTTGATTCTTTTTGTCATCAAGTCAGAAGTATAGGATGTGTGCCTTCTTGCATGGGCTTCATCATTTACAAGTTTTGCAAACTTCTTACACTATTAAATACTGAAATTTGAAGATTCCAAAGAGCATCACCATCTAATCACATAGAAGGATAGGTCTCATCCTTATATAACTCGCACATGAAGAAACATCAGGCATGTGACACTAGTAAGATACTCTTTCCAAAACACCTGGATTCTTACCCAAATCAAACTTGTTTCTCAATCAGAGTTTTAGATACAAATCTTTAAAATAGTAAATGTGTGATGGTTATGTCTTTATTCATCTTTCAGATTTTCCTATGGATTCTAGTAATGGAAACTGCAGAGGGGCAAGCAGTGGTAAGTGTATCATTATCTTTCTGGTTTTCATTTGTGGTCAAGTTCTTCTTTGATGTCACCTGAATATTCAAGTCTTCTTTGTTAAAGTTTTATCTTACATTTTAAAAATAAACATAAAAATAATTTTCTTATTTATATATTTATATTAACTTTGTAATGCTAGCTTATAGTAAAATGACTTTTTATTTTGGTAGGTAGTCTGGCATACACAGGTTTAAAAGCATGGACAGATGCATGTAACCACTGTCACAATCAGAAGATAGAGAAATTGCATCACCCTAAAAACTTATCTAGCTGTATCTATTTCTATGAAACTGTTCCCAGCACTGGCAATTAACAACTGGTTCTCTATTACCATTGTTATGTCTTTTGGAGATCGCTCTATAAAAATGGAATGATGCAGTATGTAACCTTTTGAGATTTACTTTTTTTGCTCAGCACTGTGCATTTGAATTTTATCCAAGTTGTTGTATCAATATTCTATTTTTTTAAAATGTTTGTATAAAAATATTTTTAAAGATTTTATTTTAAAGGTAGAGTTAAGGGGCAGGGAAGGGTTTTGTATCAGCTGAACTGATGCAAAGCCAGGAACCTGGAGCCTCTTCCAGATCTCCCACGCGGGTGCAGGGTCCCAAGGCTTTGGGGCATCCTGGACTGCTTTCGCAGGCCACAAGCAGGGAGCTGGAAGGGAAGCGGGGCTGCTGGGATTAGAACCAATGATCATGTGAGATTCTGACACATGCAAGGCAAGGACTCTTGTCACTAGGCTACCACGCCGGGCCCTGAATATAAACTTTCCTTTAAAAACTTTTTAACAGGTATTGTACTTTATTGTGGGATATGGTGCAGTTTTTCAAAAACATGTATAGAACACAAAACCAGCAAACCAGGATATTAGAATAGCTAATGTTTCTATTTCCTTATTTCTGTGTTTGGAGCCTACAAGTTTGCTTTTCTCAGATAGTACGTAATATATTATTGTGCATTATAGTTAGCCCACTGTGTTTAGAACACAGAAACTACTACTCCTGATTGTTTTGGTACTCAAAAATATGCAATGCTCACAAATATGCATGCCATCCTTGCAAAGGGCCTTGCACATTTTCATGTTGATTCTAATTGAGCATATGTGCTCTCAAGGTGGGCACTGTACATTAATTTTCACTTACATAAGGTAAACATCTAGGAAAAGGATTGCTGGATTATATGGTAAGCATATGGCTGGCTTTTTAAAAAACTACCAAACTGGTGTCCAATTGGTTCTCCAGTTCTGCATCAGTCAGTGTAAGACTTTCAGTTGTATCATATCCTTTCTGACACTGGCATTATTAGTTTTGCTTTTTAATTGTTAGTCATTTTAATAGGTGTGTAATGATAATTCATCATGCTTTAATTTGTATTTTCCTGTTAGATAACGATGTTTGATATTTTTATGGGCTTTTTTGCTATCCACATAGATCCTTTCTCGTATGTCCAATTTTTTTATCCATTTAAAGTTGTATTGGTTTCTTACAATAGAATTGGAAAATTCGTTATTATGGATGCTAAGAACTATCTTTGAGTTCATCCATTTTCTATGCTTTCTGTTCTCAGCTTTGTTCTATTCCTTTTCTTCTGCTTGCATTAGATTTATTTAGCTTTTGTATTTTTTTTAAAGATTTATTTATTGGAAAGTCAGATATACAGAGAGGAGGAGAGACAGAGAGGATGAGCTTCTATCTGATGATTCACTCCCCAAGTGAGCGCAACGGCCAGTGCTATGCCAATCTGAAGCCAGGAGCCAGGAACTTCTTCCAGGTCTCCCACGGGGTGCAGGGTCCCAAGGTTGGACTGTCCTCGACTGCTTTCCCAGGCCACAAGCAGGATGTTGGCATGGTGGGCAGCAGCTTGATTTGCCACATTACCACTCAGTTCCCTGCTTTTCCTTCTTCCCGTATTCTGTCTTGGTTCTGTTTCTCTTCTGCCCGAAGAACTTCCTTTTGCATTCCTTTAGCACAGCCTAATGACAGCACGTTTTATATTTTCTCTAACCTAAATATATCCTCATTTCACCCTTACTCCTGGAGAATATTTTCACTAAGTATAGAATTTGGGGCTGGCACTTCATTCAGCACTATTCTGAAAAAATGTCCTACTTACTTCTGGCCTTGGTATATCTTATGGAATCCAACAGACATTTAATCCATTCTTTCCTTTTAAGTAATGTATCTATTGTCTCTGGTTCCTTTGAAGATTTTTTTCTTTGTCTTGGTTTTTAGCCATTTGATTATGACATGTTTGGATAGTGATCTTTTTGGATTTTCCTGTTAACCATGAACTGAGATTCTTGAATCTATCCATTTATTACTTTAGTCAGATTTGGGAAGTGCTCAGGAGTTATTTTGTTAAATCCTTGCTTTTTGCTCACATTTTCCTCCATGAGGCTGTGAAAGTTTGACCTCTTGGCATTGGCCAGTGCCTCTGTTCATTCCTCCCACCTCCCAACTTTCTTCTCTTTCGATGGAGAATGAGAACTAGAGGACTTTTGCTGGAGTACTGTCTGCTTTCACAATCTCCACCCCTGGGTTGCAGGCTCGTAACCAGGACAGCAGGAGGGGAGAACTGATGACCCCACTCTCAGTTGAATGGTCTTGATATTCTCCCCCAATCCCTCTGCTACTGTTTATTCGTCAGAGTTTCTGAAAAGCTGCTCTGTACATTCTGTTCAAGTTTTATTGCTGTGTTCTGTGGGAGAAAAGGAGTCTACTTATTTCATTTTAGCATATCAATCTCTAATTAAAACATAAATCCATGAAAACACATAAATTATAACCATTTGGCCGAGTGCATGGTCACAAAATAGACACTGCTATAATGACTTTATAGACCAAGATAGGTGTTACCAGCATTTTGACATGTCCAAATCATTAGCACCTTCACAGGAATTCTTATATCAGAGATGAACTCTGCCTGCTCCTGACTTGTTGTGGATGGAACTCTGTGTATTTCTTGGTGTACACGTATCTTTCTTCTCTCTACATGATGCTCTGCAAAGCTGCAGTTTCCCACTTTCATGGCTGTGAAGTATCCCATCATTGATTACATCACAGTGTGTTTATTGGATGTTCTTGAGTATTTGAGTTGTTTCTGGTTTTGGTTACTGTGGCTAATATTGCATCTGTTTGTATAAAAATATAACCATAATGAGTTACTATGTTCTGTTTCACTTTCTTTTTGTTATTTTGGTTGGTGTGTTCCACCTTCTAAGGTGTCTTTCATGTGAAAATGGAACATCTATTGAGTTGTAAATAACTTCGAAACATCAATTTTCATTAGATTGCAATGCTTTTTACAGTCAAACTTTACTGAATCTTACCAGTTTTGACGTGAGACAATGTCCACCAGAGGTGGCTCCAATAAGCATTTTTCCTAGTAAAAACTCAAGCGAATTAACATTATCTGGAATAAGTTACCCACTCTCAAATTTTTCAGTATCTTAAAACCCGCAGAAATCATTGGTGTCTACCAATGTTGCTATTTTAAGGGTCACTCCTCCAGTTATATTTGCTCAAAACAAACCAACAAGCTCTTCAGTAGAATGGTGTAATTAGCAAGCCACAGTTTCTGGCAAAGTGCACGTCTATGCCATCAATTTGTCCAGAAGTTATAGTTAGTATAATCCAAAGCTTTCACGTGGAGAGAAGGTATCAAGAGCCCTTAGAAACTCTCTACAGAAGCAGTTCAACATGTGATGCTACCTAGAATGGATGCAGTGTTCTGGCTTCAGTGTTTACTGTTCCCCTCTTAAAAATGCTTTCCTGTCCCTGGTATAATAGGAGGGAAGTAAACAGGCCGGCAAGCAAAACCAAGGCTCGTGGTGTTTGGGGAAGAAACACTAACAGACTCACTTGGTCCAAAAGTAAAATATCATTTGTTCACACTCAAAATTTTATGCTTTGGAGAAATGTAACAGCTGAGGTTGATCATGATAAAACAGGAAATGAGGAAGGCACAAAAACATTGTCATCCACATAATAGTTTCTTCCCAAAGTGTCAAGCTGTTCTGCCTGGAATTTGGAAGAGAAATTCTTTTACAGCAAATAATTTGTCTTTTGCTTTGAATCCGAAACATTTTTTCTTTCTTTTTTGGAGTCATGGCTTGTAAGTAGCTTCCTCTTGGGAGCATATTTTACAGTTGTAAATCCACCAATATGAAAAATATACAAATACTATCTAATTGCATTGCATGATATAAGAAAAAAATTTTAATTCTGTTCTCCTGGGTCATTTAATCTGTTAGATAAACAGAGAAAATGAAGGCAGATAGTCAAATGGGCCAATGCATGGGTATTTTTAAAAATTAAAATAATTTAGGTCCAGCGCAGTAGCCTAGCAGCTAAAGTTCTCACCTTGCATGAGCTGGGATCCCATATGGGTGCTGGTTCTAACCCCGACAGACCCACTTCCCATCTAACTCCATGCTTGTGGTCTGGGTAGGCAGTTAAGGATGGCCCAAAGTCTTGGGACCCTGCACCCACATGGGAGACCCAGAAGAGGCTCCTAGTTCCTGGCTTCGGATTGGCTCAGCATTGACCATTGTGGCCATTTGGGGAGTGAATCAATGGATGGAAGCTCTTTCTCTCTATCTCTCCTCTCTGTATATCTTTCTATAACAAATAAATAAATAAATCTAAAAAAATTAAAAGAATTACAAAAATGATTTCTCTCAGTTTTCTGATGATGGCAGTCAGTTCATGAGATTTTGCATTCAAAAACACAGATTTCTCCATAATGTTGATAGGTTACTAATAAAATATGAGAGGACAGCCATACTACTTTTCTGGGTCTGATTTCTAATAGAGGAATCAGTTTGTGTTGATTTAGGTTTCAGCTTTTGATACAATTCAAGTTAGGGAAACCTTAGCGGTGATTGCATTTGCAAATCAGACACTCTCCTGGAGTCCCCACTCAGCACTTGCTAGCCTTCTCACAGGTAATACCGACTTCTTTGGAAGTTGGAT